GGAGACACAAAAGAGGAAGTGGCACAGAGTAAAGACTAATTTATGCTTCTGTGCCAAAGCTAAGCCGTAGGTTTGCACTTAGCATCCACATACCCTACGCATGGGGCCAAGGATTCATAGTTGTGCGTAGGTATGTGTGAGTCACGTTGCAGTAACAACACGGAAACGCTAGTGGAGGGAGAGGTTCTATGTTGGTGTTGAGGGTCTTCCGGTTTCTGGTCCGCTTATTTACAAATTCTCTACATCAGAATAATGATGAGTGTTACTAAGCGGATCGTGTTGGAGCTGGTAGATGTTGAAGAGAATTTAATTTTTCTTAAAGAACCAAAACGAAGGAACGAAAGACGTCCTTGTTCGTTCCTTTGACTCTTTTCAGAAATGGTGGCAAGTCCACTGGAAATGCGAGCCTTGTTGCAGCTGTTGAAACCAGGCAAATTAAAATTGTTCCCAAGTGTTGATTTGTCTTGTCGCAGAGTTAATTACTGAAATGGAAAGATAATGTATATTATGTCAATGACATAATATACATAACAAATACTGGTATTTTTTGTGTCAGCGATCACTGCAGAGTTTGATACAATGGAAGAATTGCTGTGTTTGCTGTGTGATGAGGGTTTTTCTTTCTTTTGGCTACAACCCATTTTCATCACCTGACACCAGACTCATCACCTGACACCAGACTCCTTATCAAAAGAAAGCACTAACTGTGATCCAAGCACATCGCTGATATAGAGGAGGATATCAGAGGATGCCTTGCCGAGTTGGATTTGAATGTCTGGGCTTGCAGACACTTCGATGACACCACAGGAGCAGTATGAAGGCATTTTATTATTTTTTTCTGTTGTTTTTTTCAGGTTGGAGAGTCGGTCACATTTACTTCAATTGGATTGGATTTGGCTGCAATGCTGTTAACTCCTGAAACTCCAAAAGTGTTTTGTGGACTCAAACACTTCACCCACCTCTTCATCGGCATTGTGGTGAGCAGATAATGAGTGAATTTTCATTTTTGGGTTTAAACATACCACATATAGACGTTCAAGTCTTCAACCAAACTTTTGAACCAAAATTATGATGCTCTTGGCAGAGTGTTAGTGGTATGGGGCCTTGTTACGAGGGATCTGACTCATATCATAGAATCATCATCATAGAATTAAGGGGGTGCTCACCACATTTTCGTCGCTGTGGACTAACGTGATCAGCTGTTCCTGGGGGCCTCCTCTCAGCTCGGGGCCTGAGGCAATTGCTGGCTTTGCCTACTCTGTTTTGAAGCCCCTGGCTGCCACCAGAGCAACCCGACTGGACTACTAAAAAATGTCTTCAATTTCATGCTGGAATAGACCACTATCCCTAACGCCCTGTGATTAAAGAGATGGTGAAAATAAAAGAAATTCTGCCAGACATCAAACCTAAATGTTGGCTTTGAAAAAATAATTTATCCTTTTTATTTGCAGAGCCAATAAATGAAAGGCTTTTCACAACTAATTAACATGATGGCTCGGATGTGTCACGCTATTGACAGTGGCTTTATGAGCTGCTGTGGGTTGATGCAAAGGCTATTTTTAAGATACCAGACAAGCACAATGCATAATTTATTACACCAAAGGATAACCCTTCCAAGACTGTGAATAAAGAAAGCAATAAGGGCAGCAAGGCATACAGCTGAAATGACTGATAATGCTTTACAACAGCTTCCAAACCGAGTAGATGGGGGAAAAAATCCTGTTTGCACATCATCTTAAAGGGAGGTGTAATTATCTCTCAGCCAATCAACACCTAGCAGTCACTTCCTGTGTCTGACCTTGCTGGACTCGTCACCATGGAAATTTTTCTTTCTCTGATAGAGCACAGCTTGGTCACACAAAAACCTGTGTGTGTGTATCTGTGTGTGTAGAGATGTGCAACAAACAAGACCAGTATTCCATGTTCTGTCTCACTAGGGCACCTTGGAAACAGTCCTGCCTTTTATGGCTGACCATACTGTTTCCAAATAACAAATATGCAGGAGTGATGAGCCACCACCCCCATGTGCACACACGCTCAAAACCCACACACACTCACATACACACATCTGCCTGTGTTCTTTTCACACACAGATTTGGGTGAAAATGTGAAAATGACAGTTTTTCTTTTCTTTTCATTTGGGATCTGTTATGACAGTCTGCATAAATAATGTTTTTTCAGGAAAAGCTGAAATATTTACTGAAAATATTGGCAGAATCTGACTGTATTGTGATGCTGTGTGTATGTGCGAATGTGTGTGTGAATTTGTCTCATAAAACATTATTTCAGTTACAGACTATGCCTTGAAGTGAGCCTCTATTTAATGAGCACCACTGCTTACAGATGCAGAAATACTTCTTCAGTTTGTGTTCCCGGAGGCATTATCAGTCACTGACAGCTGGTTGAATGCAGCGCTCAATTTAAGTAGACCATCCTGTCAGATTGGCATTTGATGGACAGTTTAGAGACTCTGGAGATGTACTAAAAACGTACCTTACAATATTTATCTCATTGTTGGTAAAAAGTTAAAGGAGTCATCCACGAAACTGAAGGAGAGTTAACGTTAACTTTTTTATTAGACATATTTATGTCTAAATTCAGCACAGAAAAAAAAGCACAATCGTTTTGTGTGTCAAACATTTTTATTCTCACCTTCCAAATAAAAAATCACTGTATTTTTTGTAATATTCCTTAAGAATGATGTACTTAATTTATAAGATTCAATACTAAGGCTCTATCAATGACAAAGAAAATATGAGAAAAAATAAGGTATAAAACTTGGTATGGATAAAGTAGCTGGGTAGAGAAACATGAAAACCAGAGAATAAAATGAGTCCCCAAACTGAATCTTGTGGGACCCCACATCTAATCTGTGCTGTTTTAAATGTTGACTTAAATGGGCTATAAGTAAGTTTTAACACTTACTTACCAGTCTAATAAAATTAATACAAGTTCAGCATCAAAACTCTCTCATCTATATAAAAGCTATAACACATTTCTTCTTTTCTACTACATAAGCTATCTTCAGCCTGGTCGGTCCATTTCTTTACTTTCCCATAGTAGGTCACTGTAATTTCCTGTCTGCCCTTTTCATGTGTCTTAAAACACGTCTCCAGCTACTGACATGTCATGTAATTTAGGATAATTAATTTAAAAGCCTGTGATGGACTGACAACCTGTGCAGCCTTGCCTCTCACCCAATGTCAGCTGGGATTGGCTCCGGTTCTGAATAGGATAAGTGGTATAGATAATGGATGGATGGACGAACAGATTAAACAGGCCACAATGAGTTGTGATATTTTTCACCCACACAACGTTCATGGGACACAGGTTCAAGATGAGGTCACCTAGAAAAGTTTTAAATGACTCGAAAGCACCTTTGGCCAACACCATCAGCCTTTCAGACTAACAACAGTGCTAGACATAGACCATTAAAAGGGAATTTGTTTTCTCTCCACTGTTGCCAAGAGTCTGCTCAGTAAGGAAACTGTTGGTTTCTCTCAGTAATATTGCAGTGCCTAAACCTTTATACGTAAAGAGCCTTAACATAATGTATTTTGAGATTTGACGCTTTAAAATAGAGGGGGTTTAATCATGCTTTCACACTAAACTTTATTTTAGGAAGATAATGAATTCACATTACCAATTAGAGTGGCTCGTATAATCTACTGAGGTTTATAGCACCACTTATATAGAAGCTTGTTCTTATGTGTTTTACATTATATTGCTGCAAAGTGGATGTATAGACTTTGGCAAATATGATAATCAAATGCATTTGAATTCAATTGGATGGGAGTCCATTGACACCACAAAAAATTGTAACTGTAACTCATTACAATGAGACACTTTCTCAAAATAATGACATATAACTCAAAATGACTTTCTAACTCAGGAATGTGACTTACTCTGTCAAAGAAATGATTTACTAACTCAAAATCATGACTTAGTATCTCAAAATAATGTATCTTATAATTTTGACTCAGCATTCATCTTTTTTTCTTGCGCTGGTGGGAGTGGGAATTCCTCACAATGGTAATGTGGTGGTTTAAAAAGAATATGACCTCAACTGGGATCATCTAACAACTCTCACCTGTATTTTGACTGTTTCATTAATTGAATTGAAAGAGAACCTGTGGAAACCTTCAGTTGAAATCAAAACTCAAAAGGTGTTTAGTTTGGGCTACAGTAAAACACATGTTGGCCTCCGTAGAGAGGAACAGCTCACAATGTAAATATTAAGTATTTAAATAAAAAGGGATCACCCTAGTGACCGCTCCTCTCACTGGTTACAAGTGGCTGCCCTTATCCACTTCAAGACACTAGTTCTTGCATACCATGCTGTGAACGGATCGGCCCAGTCTACATCCTGGACATGGTTAAACCTTACACCCAAGCCTGTTCACTCCATTCTTCATCTGCCAATCGGCTTACTGCTCCCTCACTGCGAGCTAGCAACTCAACAAAATCATGACTGTTGGATGTCCTGGCTCATAAATGGTAGAACAAGGCTACACATCTTCCACCGCAGAGTAGAGACACGTGTCTTCCAACTACACCTTGGTTATGAGGATGATAGTCTCATAACGATCCTCACAAAAAAAATATTGCACTTACATGTAGCACTTTGTAGTTGTACTTACATGATTTTTGCTGTTCTGGGTTTGTACTTAAATGGTTGAATACACTCATTGTAAGTTGCTTTAGATAAAAGTGTCAGCTAAATGATATGTAATGTCATGTGATAAAGAAAACAGCAAAAAACATCACTAGGATTAGTTTATATTCAACTCTGCCAAAAGATCCCTTTCAACTAAATCTTACACACTGGACCTTTAACAGTAGTGAAACCTGAAGTTAGTTGGTTAGAAAGTAGAAACGTTCACTTGAGCTGAATGGATGAAACACATTTATTCACCTCTAGGTTTATCTGATAGAGACAGATGTCATGTATCATCGACGGTTGAAGGGTTGCTGTTGTTGTTTTTTTCCACAGTGCACACGCATGCTCAGTGTTTCCCATCAACTGATTCACATCAGCTGCAGCAGCAGCCGCAGCAGCAGCTTCGGAAGTCCACCGGTCCGTCAGCACATGGATCCCCAGTGAGGAGAGCGAGCCGCTGGGGCCAGGAGGGTAAGACTGACTGCTCCTCTGGTTGTGAAGTCGGGTAGAGTGACGAGAGGAAGCTGCAGCTGAGCGCAAAACAAAAAGACTGAGGAGAAAGTGAGTCGCTTTAGATGAAGTGCGACGGAGGAAAAGTGTTAAAAGGGACAGAGGCTGAATGGCCGCGATGACTCACAGTGCTGCTGGTTGGTTTATATGTCGGGGCTCAGCTGAATTTAACCACCATGTGTTGTTCCGCACTCCGTTTAAACATTTCATTTCATATCTGACGTTTTTCTGCGTCGGTTTGTGAAACGTGAAAAAGCAAATCTCGCATACGTGCGTGGCAGAAAATAAACCCTGTTGCATTCTCGATTTAATTCAAGATCCCATAAATCAAATAAATGATTTACAGTTTATAAAATACTACATCACTGACCTGCAGTCGATCTGGACTCAGTGAGTCTGGAGGAAACTTGAAGGTGGATGTGACTGTATCAGCACCATGGACAGCGTTCTGGTCAAATGGTCCTCAGCATGAACTGATTATAGATCAGTTTGATCATAATTGCAATTCAAAGTCGATAATCCAAATACAACCATAAAAGAAAAACACACACATGTATATATATATATATTTACAAAACATTATGCAAATTATTTACACACCACATCTATGTGATGCTGCTCTCCTACAAAATATAAAACTGTGTAGTTACAACACGTTTAAAGGGATAGTTCACCCCAAAATGAAAATGTACTCATTATCCACTCACCTGTATACTGATGGAGGGGGTGGGCTAAGTGTTTGAGTCTACAAAGCACTTTTTGAGTCTCAGGGGTGAACAGTGTTTCAGCCAAAATTGCATAATAAAACAATAGAAACATTAAATATATACATTTTTTTTCAATGTATCCTGTATAATTAAAAGTAATCTTCAGTTTTGTGTTTACTTGGAGTGTCGTCCATTCAGAGCTTCCTTACTGGAAGTCCCTCGTTCAGTCCGCTCTGTAAACAGAGCAGCTGGCTACTTCGATCGCCGTGTCCAGGATGTTGTTGTTTAGCCAGGTCTCTGTGATGATAGTCACAAAATGAAGTGTAATTATCATTTTGATCGCATCTGACTTGTTTGTGAGAGACCTGGAGTTGGTGAGGAACAGACTCGGGAGCGTTGGTCTGTATGGGTTAGCCTTTAACCAAGCGCATAGCCAGGTTGGCTTCCCCCACTTCTGTTTCCTCTCCATTCGCCCCCTGCGTCTTTTCAATTTCAATTTCAACTTAGGATCTCCAAAGATGGGTTGAAACTCGACCCCATGCTGGCGAAAATGTAAAATATCAGCTAATTTTCTTTACAAGGAAATAAAGTATACCCCGGAGAAAAATAAATGGGTGTGATACTACATAGTCAAAAAATGCATAACCACTATTTCTACAAGCTTGTAATAAATGTGAAAGCACAAACTAATTTGGAATTAATATTTAATACTAAATTATAAGAGTCTAGATGGTCTATCATCTCATTTTGCTCTTTTCATTGGCACAAGAACTTTACTTTATACGTTTTTATACATCCCTACAATATCAGGTAACAATTTAAAATCCCATGAATTAAAGAAACAGTTGTTTATTGAACAGGGTTTGGTGTCAACTGGTCCTGTCAGGTTCATGCTTTTGGCAGCGGAGGAGGAGAGTAAAAACACAAGAGCACCTGAGCAGCGTGTTTTCGTTGAGTGACCTCTGATGTGATTTTCAGGATTGTGTTTTAAACTGCAGTCAGGTTAAACTTGCTTCTATGGTACAAACTGAGATCAGGCATGTGTGGCCGCTTAGAGAAACCATTTAAAGGCGAAGAATGAAAGAAATCAATCAAAGCACCACATGAGAATAACAACAGCTATTCACATGTGTGCATATGAGGACGAATAGAGCGAGCGTACACTTGCATATGTGTGATTCATCCGTAGAGGCACCTCAGGGCCACGGTAGCCGTCAATCGTTCACACGCAGCAACAATAACCGGGGCGACCTGACGACAAGGGCCAAGATTTATGATGGGTCTCTGAAGGGAGGGGAGGCTTTTATTGAGGGAAATCCATATTCAGCAGATAAACAGTGTTTGTGTTATATAGCGGCCATACAGCTGACATACATATCAATCTCTTCACGACTGAATATCTGTGTATATGTATGTGTATGTTTACTGCAGGTGTTCAAGGTGCGTGGGGTGTGATGGCGTTGTGTTCCGAGGCCTGTGTCTCTGGCTCAGGAGGAGACTCCTCTGGGAGTGAGGTGAGCGTCACTTTCTCTTGAGTTTGATCTGTTTTATTTGATTTTAAAACAGCTAAGAGTCCACACATTTTTTAAAGGTAAAAATAAATAAAAGGTGGAAATGTATGGGTCTTTGTTGAGAGTCTGGCAACATCACCCATGTTTTGCTCAGTGAAAACATTCACTGTCAAGTCTTGTGAGACTTGCGTTGAAAACATAAGTGTGAGTGATAGTGCGAGAGAGGAGTTTGGATTTTACAGTGAGAAACTATCATGGCAGAATGTTTTTCTGATGTGGACAACGCCGCTGAAGCATTTGACTTCGATGGTTGTCCCTGTACTTGTTCGAGTATACAGATATAGAGCTCCTACATGTTGAAAAGCAAATGAGAATGAGAGAGAGAGAGGCAAGAAGCAGAGGAGGGACAATGAACTCCTGCAAGGTTGCTAGTGAGACTTCTCATTGAGTAAGACATTTGTAATGTCTTCAAGCCTTTTATTGGTGAAACATTTACTTCTAGGGAACATTTTGTGGACTGTTGCCCCATAAGATTACACCGACACAGCGGCATTGACCAACTATACTTTCCTCTAATGTAAGAAACTGTGAAGTCAAATGTAATTGTGGAATCATGTGATTGCTCTCCCAAGTAATTTGGTCCCTTTCCGCACAACGCCTTTTCAGACGGGTTCTAGCTGTCTTCATTTTGGGGTTCGTTCCTATCTGCACCACTTCTACGAGGAGTGCTCATCCTCCATGTGGGAGAGAGACCCTGAGGATCGGGAGTTCGTCCAGAGCCCGAGGTCAGCCCTGTGGAACTCAGCAGTCTGGAAGGTAGAGAAATGACAAGCTCACGCCTTTAGCCTATCACTATGCCTCCATACTGGCAACAGCCATGGCCAAAGGCATTATGTTTTCAGGGAAACAGGGGTAAGATGTGTAGGTGCACCTGCATCCCAGGAACGTACGGAGTATTTCAACTTTTCTCAAAACTGGGATATAGGCTTAGCCAGGATACTGAAATCCAGATATGATGCTAACAACGCATGCATCAATGTTAACACAGCCAGTGACACCTTAAGGGCAATTCTGTAAAGTTGGAACAAACGTTTAATATGGACTCAAAGATAAACTGATTAGATTTCAGTCAAAAGTCAAAGGTGAAAGTTTTGTGAACACAGAAACACATTTTAATGATTTGTTATTACTTTTTAAATGATTTGTTACCTAACTCAAGCATGCATACACTAATGGTGACATCCTACACTTATTACTTCAACTCTGGGCAGACAAGGAGGTAAACTGCAATTGATTGGTTGTCAGATGAGTACAACCCTAACATGGTATTTCTCGATTTGTCTTAAAACCCATGAAATTACTTTTTCCTTTTCATTTTAATCGTTATTAGATAATTTGATCCAATTAATCAAGCCATACTGAACTGATGAATACAGTTATTTTGAAAACAGACTATTTAATGGGACAGCATCAATTATGAAGTTGAACAAAAATCCATGAAATGCACATCACACATGTTAGTTATTTCTTGCACTTCATGCATTAAGTGGTTACTACACATACTGGGCTCTATTTTATCTATGGCGTCTCACCTGCATAGAGCAAGTAGATGTATAATGTGTCCAAATCCAAATGTTGCAGCACGAGGCGCGTGATTCTGTGGGGTTGCACTTAGTCTCCCCATTAATCATGGTTGTGTTTTAGGAGTAACCTTTACCTTTTACCTTTAAAAACCAGGTGCCCTTGCATTGATTGCTATTGCAATAGCATGTATAGAGAGAATGCTTTTCTACAGAGGAAACAGATCTACTTGTGTGTAGAGTGAAAGTTCGCACCAGTCCACTGACTCCAGACCAGCTTGTGTTTAATTGTATATTCCCTCTCTGTTGCTTTGAGAACAAAACACCAGACCACACTTACATTAAGTCCAACAGACTCGTGACGCTCAGATGTGCACAAGTGCATTTTCTATTCAAACACATTTAGGCGCCAGATGGGAAAATGTCAACTGAGTCACTGTCTGAATTGAGCAAAGGCACTGGTGTATGATAGGGCCCATTGTGTTTGTCCCTTTAACAGTCCTCCTCTGATATTTCATATCAGTTACTGATTGATATAACACAAAAGAGATTCTACCCATGATTGGTGTCTGTTATGTCCCATGAGAAATCCTACAGGTAAACGAACAATTATGTGTATTACATGTGAGCATTATTCCCTGAGGAGCCGTGGGATCACACCCTCATTGTTCAGGGAAAGATGATTCTTCCTCTTACGTATTACACCATTCATTGTTATTGTAGTATCGTCTATGACTGATGCTTCTGTTTCCGCAATTACCCCACAATCTAATGACTGTTGTGATGTCTTCTCTCGATTAACACACGTGTACATTGGTTTGATTCGACCAGATTCATCAGGCGAGACTTTTTTGTAGCATTAATAGAAGTATATACTTTTCAATAATACATGAAGATGCAGTTATAGAAAATATTTATTTTAAATTCTGTCTGTTTGTGAGATTTGGGAAATTCAGATTTTCCGTAAATATGAACTGACACATCCCAGATGCATTGCTCTCTCTGTCACAGCTGCCCCACTGTCGGCCTGGAGAGGGCGGCAGACAGAGACGTGCCACCTCTGTGACACACGGTGTCATCCCGTGATGAGCTTCACCACTGTAATAACCATGAAGTGAAACTCTGCTACACGTGCTCGATAGTGCACACAGTGCATTTTAAACCTTTGTCTCTGCATGATGAACTACAGGCAGTGGTGTGGTGGTATTTGTAAAGGTGAAGGATTACATGCAAGCCCCCTGCCCATTTGGCAATTTGAATTTTTCTGCATCACAAACAACAAAATGACCTTTCCTAACAAGAAGGGAGGAGCAGCAAACAGTGGTTTCACTAAGAGAAAAAAAATATAGATCAGGACTCCACAAATTAAGGTTTCATCTTTCCGTCCTCTCTCCAGGTGTCCTTGGCCCTGGGCCTCCTAATCCTGACTGCAGGCATCGCCAGCCTGTCAGTCGGCTACATCACTCCCCCTAAAATCGAGTCGTTTGGAGAGGGGGACCTGCTCTTTGTCGACACCCACGCCATTAGCTTCAACAGGGGGCTGCACCTCAGTGCTGCCGCCGGGATTGGGCTGTCTTGCCTCGGCTCGGCCCTGGTGGCAATGGGGGTTGTCGTTTGGATCCTGCCCAGGGCCAACTTGAAAGAGAGCCTGTTTCACAGACCGGGGGAGGGGGAAGGGAGACGAGAGCTGCGGTCAAAGTGGAAGGGATTTAGGGATCCGGGGGATGTGGTCACTAAGCCTCCAGGTGTAGAAGAGGGGAAGATACCTGTCACATTGTCAAAAGTGGAAAATGTGCAGCCCACTTCTTAATAAGATCCCTGGTGAGCAACATGGCCCCAGGCTTTTGTTGGAGTGAAGGGTTCTTCATTTACAAGGTCTTGTGGTTGTTTGTTTTTCAACTATTGTGAATGTAAAAAATGTAATTTTATCAAACAAATGGAGGTCGTTTGGATACCTGGAAATTATATTAAAACAAGAAGTAGACGAGATACTTCAAACCACATCAGGCTTCAAAAGCACAGCTTGATCAGAGATGTTTATTTTCGAAATAAACCCGAATTAAACATATAAATATGGTACCAAGACTTCAACCAGAGACCTTGTGGCTCTCTTGTATTGTAGCTGTCGACTTTGTTTGTGCAGTGCAATAGTCTTATATTTAAAAAGAATTCTGTACAGTGACTAATGTCCGCCCAGACTCTGAGAGAGAGCAGAGTCCTAATGACTAATGGTAGAAATCTCTATTTTTACCCCTTAACTTAATAACGTTTTTTATATTTTTATTTTTTTCAATGGCAAGCAGCTCTCCAAGTAGTTAGACATGTGACACGATTCAGAACACATTGCCATTCAGGTACATACAGAACATACACACATGGATCACAGGGGCTCACATGCAGGAGTGGTTACAGATAAAAAAGTGTTTTTTCACATGTCTGCACTAATGCTCAGCCCGGTGTGTTGAAATCAGTTACAGTCACACGTGCTCACCCACACACACACAAATTCGTGCTTCATTGACAGTATCACCTATTTTCTCCCCCATTGTAATCTAGCTCCCTAATTGCCTGCAATCTGTGTCTCCAGGCAACAGTTGGGCTTCAAGTGCTCTATTTTCACCTCTGAACAAAGACTCTTTTCTGATTGGTCGCCCGTATCCCCTCTCTTCATTTTCATGCCAATTGGATTTTTTGTTGACAGTCATACACCGTAGTCGCAAGTAAGTGGTGAGACGCTGAGGTGAGAGACATATGCACTGGCACCTCATAGGCCACAAAAAAAACAAGTAAAAAACATTATAACCACGATGCCCTGATTTAACTGCACTGATTCCACTGGATGTTATTATTGATTCATTGTTTTATTGTGTTATTGGCCATGATGAAGATAATGGACTCAAGTGTCATTGGTGCAAATCAAATGACAAGAATAAATTTGTGATCTGCAAACTGAACTCCTAGAACTGTGGTTCCATTGGATTCACTTATTTTATTTCAATCAGGAGAGAGACAAATAAGATTGAACTGATTCTGAACACTTTGTCACTTAGACTCAAGCAGGAAGTAGAAAGCAATGAAAGCAGTCCTATGAATAAGGTGCTTCGAATATGAGTGAGTCTTCCCCCTGGAGCTGAGACACTGAAGGTGGTGATGACGAATGGAGCCCGAATCTGGGACGTCTCATGAAGGGCTTCTGATTGGTAGGACAGTCAAAGGGAGATGACCAGGTATCAAGAGTTATTGTTGAGCAGGAGTAGAAGTGGGTCACCCAGTAATCGCGGTACCAAGGTGACAGCTGAATGACAGGAGGGAGAGAAAACATTTCAAACTTTGACAGCTTACAGGTGATTGGCTCAAGGCAAGCGTGCCAGAAAGTGATTGGATGAAAAATGAGCTGGTGGAAACTAGAGATAGCATTAACTGGGCCTGTGACGGCACACGTTAGAAGGCAGTCTTTCCTTACTGAATTTTCACTAAGCCTCATATTCCAAACCTCCAGTAAGAGATGTTTTGGACATTTAGGTTTCATCAGATGATTCCTGTAGAGTCAAAGTGTTACTTAGGCCACAAACTTCAGATTCAACCCTCATTGCCACAGTTATTACAATTTATCTGGAGAGGGAAATGAATACCTATCAAATGTTATGACCGTCTATTACCCAATTGCTGTTGAGTCATTTACATATAATTATCAGCATTACACTGAGCCACTGTTACTGTGCAGCTCTGTTTAGTTATGACCATTTAACCATTAAGGTTGTCCATCCTGTTCTCGTGAACCCGATATCTTAAGAACACCTTGAGGGTATTTCTTCAAATTTGATATAAACATTTACTTGGACTCAAAAATAAGTTGATAACTTAAAACTTGTGCCTTTTTCTGATGTCCTGAAAAGGTGACTTCTCTAGAGCTATAACTTTTGATGATGATGAGGATGACCTTAAACTGATTTCTGTAAAAGGTGCAAAACAGTCAACAGTTGTTGCCTTTGAATAAGCAAACAATATAGTGAATAAGAGCAGCACGTGTTTTCAAAAGAGAATTATGTGTTCGGTGTAAAATGTAATAAATTAAATTTTACTGTGAAATGTGCGGTGTAGCTGTGGGCATGTGTGTATGTGAGTGAGAGACAGAGAGTAGTACTTGTGGATGTATGAGTACATCATGTTACTTTGGTGAGATGAGTCACAGCTGTGAGTGTGACTCATCTCATCTTGTCCCTCAAGTCACACAGTAACAGGAGGGTCACCAAACTGTCACGAATTGAAACAGTACACACACACACACACACACACACACACACACACACACACACACATTGACGGACAATTACATAACAACTTTTAGAAATTTTACTTTACCAGTATATCATTGGTGATGTGATACACTGATACGACATTAAAGCAATCTGATTGAGAATTAGCATTTTTTTGTTTTTTTCTAGCTCTCTTCAAGTCGTCCTTATCTCTGCAGAAAAAGAAATCCTTTTGTATTGTAAGTTATAAACTTGACATCATTATTTTAAAGGTCACCCATAGAAAGCACAAACTATAGAAGAATAGATATTCAATGCAGGGTTTGTTTTTGTGCATCATATTTGAAGTCTGTCCTCTTTTCTCTCCTGTTCCAAAATCATTAACGCATCAAGCCTGTATATGAGCCAGCATCAGTGCCATCACAGGAACTCTTCTCCTTGCTGTCAACATGCCCCTCGCACTCTCAGCGCATGTTTGCGTGGCTGATTTGAGCATGCTGGGTTTATTAGCGAGTGTATGTAAGTGCATAATGAGATATAAAAGTGGAAGAGGTGGCAGCATTTCCTGTGAAGATGGAAGCTGATGCGCTCCACTGACTTGCACAGCTCAGAGTGTGAGTCACACTGTTGTGGGAGAGAACCGAGCAGTCGATTATTGGGTCTGCTCGGCTGATTGGCAGACCCAGCCCTCCCAGTGTGTGTGTGTGTGTGTGTGTGTGTGTGTGTGTGTGT